TTTTGATTTAAAAAGTTGTTTATCAGCACTTATTTGCCAAACACATCAACAACTTTTTTTTAACTTCAGCACTTTTATCCAAACGCATAACTGCTTATTTTAAAAATAAGTTTCAGCACTTTCAAAAATACTTTTTTAAAGCTGTTTTTATTAAGTCCATCCAAACGGGCCCTAAGTATGACTCTAGAATTTTGAACATAGATTGAGAAGAACTTGTGCATTATCAATAAAGAATAACAAAAAGTTCCATAAATTAGGTTTAGATTTAATTTATATTTCAAAAACTAGCTGAAAAGAAGGAGGATTATCAAAACCTTATAAAGAGTCACTTATCTTATTACTTTTTATCAATCTTCAACAAACTAGTCGAATTTTTATTAGTATTTATATTTTTTTAATTTTTAATATGCATAAAATATTTAAATTCGTATAAAATGGAACCATAAATATATTTATCATGGGTTTATATGATATACTTTTGTATCTTAAAATGTATGTATGTATATGTTATTTAATTTTACATAAATTTTAAATATTAAAGCTCAACTATTTTTTTTTTCTGCTAGATAAGATCCTTTCGCGAATATTTCCTACGTAGAATTTTTGGCTTGAAATTATCTCTATACTTTATCTTTGTTTACTTTACACTAGATTGTTTAATTAAAATATTTTTTTAATCATGTCTTGAAAATTTATATTATTATTAAATAAAGATATATATTAATAAAGTTTTTCATAATCTATACTCTTCGATCATATTAGTTTATTACTTGACTTTTTATATTTTAGAAAAACTACGAAATAAAAGGTTACTTTTACTGCATCATTTTTTGAATATATTAAATATAATATTTTAAAATATAATAACGAAACAATTATTATGAATAATAAGAGTAAAATAGAAAAAATTAATTATTGATTTAATTAAATATATAAATGATGTTGAATATCCCAAAGTAGTTATTAAATATATTATCTTGAAAATATAATTAAAAAAAATAAAAAAGATGAAGATAATTAAATATTTTAAAATAGTATATAATTGGGAGGAAGGGAATAGTTAAAATGAGTTTCTCCTACGTCTTCATAAGCATGGCACGTCTAAGGCGGCGGTGTTTGGATGTTTTTGTGCTTTTAAAGTCCCAAGAATTGAATTATTGATAGAATGTTGTGGTTTTCTATGAGTTTGTTTGTTACTCCAATTTATGCAGCTTTCATAGTATTATTTAATTATTATTTTTAGAGATAATACATAAGTATTAAAAGTGGATTTGGAATTTAGAAATAGTTGGTGTTATATTGTTAGATTAATCAATGATAAAATTATTACTCATTAAGTTTCAACCATTTGTAATAGTGTTAACATCAATTTTTCATATGTGAAATACAGATTTGAATTCAAGCTTCTAATATTTTTATTTTTCAAAAGAAACGAAAAATGTATTAAAAAAATGCGCTATCAGAGAATTAAATTTGTGACCCAGAAGCTAAAAAATAGATACTTAACCACGGGCACCACATGCCTACTGTATCTTGAGGTGACAAATTTATTATTCATAACCTTTTTGTGCATATATATATATAAAATTTCAATCGAGATCACTGGATGTCGTGGCACCCCATCGCCCCTGACATGTAGGCACTCAATCTACGCTCAAAATCTCAGACACACATTTATACTATATTAAAGTCCTATTATCCTTTGAATTTATTTTATTAATAATTTTTTACCCCTTTTCGACCTACGTGACATTATCTCATGGGTTCAATTATGGTTTATTTTTTTTTCAAACTAGTGCCACGCAGGTCAAAAAAGGCTAAAAATTTATTTATAAAATAAATTCAAGGAGATAATAGGACCTTAATATATTATAAACGTGTCTCTAAAATTCGGGCATATTGCATTTTCTCTTATTTTTATTTATCCACCATATTTTTCTATGTTCATCTTTTAAATATATTAAATTTAATGACTTTCAAAATATATTAGACAGTCCCTCCATTTAACTTAAGGTATATTTACCCCCTTTCATCTATTAATCAAGCAATTATAAATTAAGATAAATATTTGTACCAATTATGAAATGACAAGTATAACTTGTTTTGGCAAAACTTTTGGGAGAGCAAAAGTGAATATATTTAATGTGAAGTGTTTGGCCAGATTCTCGAAGGAAAATAACTATCTTCAATGAATAACGAGTTATTTTTCAATAATAATAAAAGGTAAGTTCGAATCAAAGGCTTTAACAAATTTTAAGGTCGTTTGGATATGAATAGGGCTGCATCCTAATTATCAATTTACTGTGAAATCTTTCGAATCTCTATTTAGAAATTCAGTGATACGTCATAAATAAGGAAATAAATTAGCAGTTTTTTTGACAAAGAAAAGAAGAATAAATTTTCTGGCGAAAGTTAGTCACCTTATGATTTGAATCAGTCGTTAAAATTTAAAATTTTGTTTGAGTATGCATTTCAATTTCTTTAGTTGTATCTATTTTATTTTCATAGATACAAAAATCCTACAATTTGTGAAAACTGTTAAAATCTTTTCATTTCTCGAATAATAATAAACGAGCAAATCATAAATAAGATATAAAGTATCTAAAACACTATATTACTTATTAATAAATCATATAATTGATTTTTTAATAAATAATAAATAGTTTCAATTACATATTGTTTTGATATTCTTTAATATATAATTTTTCATCATGATATGCATAATTTATGTCCTTAATAATTAAATAAATCAAAAAAATTTCATGAATGCACTTTTAAAGAAACACCATAGCGAAAATCAAATGTTTGTTATAGTTTTTTATTACAAAATATATAGATTAGTTTTATATTTGCAACTTATAAAATCATAATTTAGACCCAACTTCTTGATAATTTGAGATTGAAATTAGAGACGTTTGAATGAGTTTAAAAAAATAATTTTAAAAAAGTACTTTTAAAATTGCTGATTTTTTTTAAAAATAACTAGTTATTTATTTGATAAAAGTGCTGAAGTTAAAAAAAATTGTTGATGTGTTTGACAAATAGGTGCTGTAAATATTTTTTAATTAAAATGTCTGAAATACCCTTAAAAGTTGTTAATATGATAAAAGTTGATTAATTTAAAGTTTTTATACTTAAAAAAATAAATAAATAATTAATTTATAATTTACATCCATAAGTAATTATATTTTGCTATCATTCACATATTTCTTTATTATTACAAATTGTTTAATATATAATAATTATAATAATAATGATAATATATAATAATAGTAATAAATAATAATAAAATAATTATTAATAATAATAATAGATAAAATATTAATAATAATAATAATATATAATAATAATAATATAATAATAATAATAATAATAATAATAATAATATATAACAATAATAATAATAATAGTTATTATAATAACAATAATAATGATAATATATAATAATAATAATAATAATCTATAAAATATTACTAATTAATATATAATAATAATAACATATAAAAATATTTAATAATAATAATAATAATAATAAAATAATATGAAAATAATAATAATAATAATATAATAGAATATTAATATATAATATAATAATAATAATAAAGAATAATAATAATAGTTATAATAACAATAATAGCAATAATAAAAAAAAATATTAATAATAATATAATAATAATAATAATAAAGAATAATAAAATAATAATAATAATTAAAACATAATAAAATATTACTACTACTACTAATAATAATAAAATAAATAATAATAAAAATAAAAGAATTAAGGATAAAAAGATAATATACACGGTCAACATAAAATAAATTTTAAGTTGAAAAAAAATACCTCTCACCAAGCTTTAGATTTTAGATTTAAAATAAGCTATTTTTAACTTAAAATAAATTATTTTGATATTTATCAAACACTTTAATAAATTAAAAATTGATTTTAAGTCAGTTTAATTAGCTTTTAAGTTCAAATATGCCCTTAAATTTAAAATTTTAAATAATTTCATATACACAGGTCAATTTCAAATCAAAAGTTGAAATTAAGCTCCATTCTTTAAAAATATTTTTAAAACTAATTAATCAAACACAAATTACTTACGGTACGAAAACATTTAAATTTGTAAAAATATTGTCAAAATAAATTTTAAAAGTACGACCAACAAAAATAGCAGTAAACTGCATATGCTAAATTAAAATTTAAATATATTTGTGTTTTTCTCCTCATTTTTTTAAAATAATATTCTCACGTTACTGCTAAAAAAAATGAAAAAGAACAAAAGAATTTTCACTAAATACATAGAAAATAAAGGGAACAATTTCTTCAGCTTCAATTTCAGCTCGATGATGAATCCTCTTCAATGGTAAAATAATAAAGGTGCTGATAATTTCATGTTTCGAGTGATTTTGGGAAATTGAATCTTGATTACCTAAGATGAAGAAGCTTATAGAATTTGGGAAGAAAGCAATGTTCTATATTAGGGTTCTTTCAGGCTACGAAGAGCGTAGAATCCGATCTTATCGATTACAGATGCAGCAACGTCTTCAACAGGTCATTCAATCAATTTTCATTTCACTTTCTTAATTGTTAAATCTGATTCTATGGTTATCATTGTATCCAGATTAGTTATAAATGCGGATTTAGATATTAAAGGAAATTTAATTAATTTGGGATCAAGGCCTAGTTAACTATTTGTTGTATTTTTTTCTTATTAATCCAAAATATAGTCGACTGGGACAGTTAACTGTTGAGTTGGATTAGAAAACAAAACTAAATTTGGAAGGCCTCTGCTATTTGTTGCATAATATGGTTAATTAACGTCTAGGATGTGATTTTGCTTGTAGTAATTAGTTGTAAACACGGACTAGCTTAGTTTGATGTGATATATCCAACTCAAATCATCAATGGAACGATGGTACACTTTTGGATTCATTTTTGTGCTGTACATAGAGTTGTGTGGTGTGTATAGTGCATCTATTTGTATTCATATGCAAATTGAATGTTTTAGCTTCTAAATAGCTAGTAAACATAACTTCGACTTCTGGGTTGTGGAGAGAAATGTTGAGGCGAATAATGTGTTGTAGCATTCCAGGTAGCAAAAAGATTATGCAAATATCTTTTAGGTGGGGTTACAGCTCCACAAGCTTCATTTTCCATTAAGCATCTAGGTTCTTTTAATGAGGGGTCTCTTCCAAATTCTGCATGAAAGCAGTTTTCTAGTGAGACAATCTGCTGGTTATTGAAATGTCAAAGAATTTGATAAACTTTGAGTGAACTCATATATGCAAACACAGTAAAAAATGTAGTAGAATTGCTGTTGATGCTTGTGGCTATAAACTGGTTTGCCCCTTCATGATACCTTGGGTTTGGATTCTCTTTGTACTTCTCCCTCCCTTCTAATATAAAATAGAGCAACTTTTCACATATAGCAAACACAAAATTCATATTTGTATGTTATAGCAAAGTTTGCATAGTTGCGCTCTATAGCAAACATAAATATATATAATTCGCTAGACATATACAAAGAAACCAATTGTATAATTGACTATACATATACAAAAGAAAGCAGTTGTATACAAATCAATTGTATAATTTGTGTGTGTATAAAACGAGAAAGAAAGAAATACAAGAAATTGGGCAGGGGAATATTTGTATTGTATAATTATAAGTGTATAGGACGAAGATATATGTATTTGCTGGTGTATATACAATTTTCTCTCGCTTTCTTTATACAAACTGAAATACAATTTATACATTTCGTTTCTGTTTGTATAAGCGATAGGCGAGGGTGGCGAGCGAGAAAGGGAGAGTGACGAGTGAGAGTTTGAGGGAGAGAGGTGATTGACAAACAGTTTGTTACAGGGCACAATTAAATCAAAGTGTAGTTATAGCATTTAATTTGATTTGTTAGTTTGCCATTATATACATTTTTCCCTATAAAATAACTGTCCATGTGCACGTAGCATGGAACTTAGATGATTTCTTGGGTATACAATTAGTAAAGAGAGACACTGAAGAAAGTTAACAGATCAAAAGTGTAAAAGTGTTGGTGGTAGATTTTTATTTTGTTTTTTCTTCGGTTCGACACTCTTATTATTTTATCTCTCTCTTTCTCTTCGTATGTAATGTCTGAACAGGCGGAGGAGAGGAAGGTAGCAATAAGGAAGCTTCCTGAACAAATGATTTTGTCAGAAGTTAGGCGCATGGTGGAAGAGATGCAAGCTTTGAATAAGAAGTTAGAGGAAACTGTGAGTTCACAATTTTCTTGAATTTTACCTGTGGTTTACTTTCTTGCACCTAAGAATTCTGTTCTGTTCGTGTGTAATTCAGAAGCATGCTGATGGCTTAGCTTGGTGGCCCTAATTTAATTCTTTAATATTGTTCTGCTTTCCTGGGTATTGCTGTGTATAATTTGCAAAAGAGGTAGTGTTAGGTCATTCTTGAAGTCTCGAAGACAATTTCGGATCTATTCCACAATACTATAAAGGGCATCCAAGTGAACATTGGGCATAGTTTCCTGCATTCATGCTTACTGTATCTTAATATGCATTTGTTTATAGAGTGTTTTCAGAAAAGAAGCTTAATGCCTCTTGAAAACTAGCTAGAGCATAGCATTTGCAGCTGAGAAGATCCGACTTACATACTCACAATGACCCTCCGTTATCTCATTGAAAGGCTCTGAGACCTTGTTTTGTCTGTGCTCCAAATAGATACTAGTCATGAGCTGCCAATAGGCATGCAATTAGTTTGAAGATGTAAAAGATATGGAGCCTCGGGACTTGGAATGTCTTTTGTCATGGGTCCTTAAAAGGTAGAGACATATTTGAGCAAGAAATAGTGCTTTGTAAGGTGCTCAAAAATTAGTTTTTGGAATTGGTAGTTGGTGTAACAATTAGAAACTTATTGAGGAAAAATAATTTAGTGGAAGAACTATCCTAGAAATTGACAGAACATTAGCACTGAAGGGTGTCTGGTCAATAAAGTAGGATGAAAATCATGAAATATCAAGGTTCAGATCCCAGCTCGGTAAACAAAAGGATGGTGGTATCTTCTCATCTACCTAAGCCTTGGTGGGCTTAGTTATTCGGTACCTGTAGTAGCAGATACCCGATGAAATAAGTCAAGGTGGGTGCAAGCTGGTGTGGATACCGCCATTATCACAAAAAGGGGACAGAAACATGTGAAAGAATCTTACGTAATAAATTAATGTAACACTGCTTCCATATCTTTTGGTCTTCAGTGTAGCCAACTTCCAACAAATAAATCCCTTTTCTTATCTTTCACTCCTCCAGATATTAGTCTTTTCAGAGTCTAGATTTCTCGCATCCCTTTCCTCCCGGCACAGACAGAAGCAGCTTGAATGAATTTCACAAAATAGAAATATTCTACTTTCAGAGCACAAAGTTGGTTTCAAAACATTGTTTTCTAGGACCACAGAACTCCATTTTAAAGGCTAAACTTGTACCCCCAGCTCTAGAGGAGAATATAGAAGAAAGTGGAATGCAATTGAATAAGCCAACTGGCTGAGGCAATAAACAGTTTTTTCTTTGCTTAAGCTTAATTTGGCTCAATTTCAGGTGTGAACCTAGACTAACCTGTGGCTTTTGGCCACATTTAAATTTTTTACCTAGTTTCTGAGAACTCTTGGATCTAGAGAGAATATACCATTCCACTTCTGCACACCATATAACCTGACTTACCCCCACCTCCCCTCCTAAAAAAAAAGAAAAAGAAAAGGGAATTGTTCTTTTTGAGTATATTGAATTTGAGAAAGTGTTGGTATTTGGCACTCCTTTCAAGCCAAGCATCCTGAACCATGTTGATCGATGTCCTTGATAGGTCTAAGCTGCTTTTTACACAATTGTACAGTTAAAACTTCAAGCCCTTCATTATTGATATCTTGCTTATACTATTTGGCTATCTCTGGTAATTGTCACGCTTGGACTTTACCACGTGCTGCTTCATCAATGTCACCATTTATTTCAACTTGGTACTCCAGTGACTTCCTATGGTTTTGTTTGACCTTTAATTTGATGATTTACAAATTTTGATTTTCCATTGTACCCAACAGTGTTCTCGTTTACTCTGTTTCTCTCCGTACATTTTTTTAGAGGCTGGCTTTACATAATTTTAACATTTTTTTGTTCACTTATTGTATTGTGACGCAAGGTATCAGGAACTTAATACGTAGTAGGGTAGTAGAGTTGCCTTTAGAGTCCACTCTATAACTTTGCTGATGTTATATTCCACTACTGGTACTTTGGCTGATCTTCTGGCTTGGACTCATTGCTCGAAAAAAATTGGTAATGCTTTCAGGAGGCTGCTGTTGATGACTATTTCAAGCCAATAAACATGGAAGCAGAAAAAATAGTGAAAATGCAGCTTGAAGGAGAGGAGAATAGAACTAAGGATATGATGAATATCCTGCAGAAACAAGCTTTTCTTGAGAGACTTCAGGCGGAAAAACTAATAAGTGCAGAAACTGTGGGCACGAATAAACATGACCAAGATAAAGCATCTACATAGACTCCACCAGAAGTAAAAGTTGATTTTGTAGAGTTATGAAATTGTTCTTGATATTGAAACTATACGAACTCATATAGTTTTGCTTCTAAGATATGGTTGGTTTTGGCGATCTGAGTGAGAAAAGATGATCTGTCCGGCTGTCCCTTTCAGAGCATCTGATAAATTTGGAACGAGTAGAGGCCAGAATCTACTTCTGTTTATTTCTATACACATGCTAGTCATATTTCCTGTTGTAGATTATACATTGTCCCAATGGGATTTTTCGTTTCGTTCCCAGCATAAAGTTGTTCATTGTTCCAGTAATTACGTTCAGCTTCAGCTCTGTAACAGATTATTTTTCTCACTGAAAACAGAAGAAAATGTTTAAAACTAACACAAGAGGGACAAACTTGTCCATATGTCTTGTCGTAATATAGAAATTTGTGATGAAGGATCTTTCTTGGTATCGGAGTCTCAAACTCATGAGGAAATAACTTAATTCTCATTATGTAAAGATCAACTATTGCTTATTTTGTTCGATATATCACATAGGTTTCTTGTTCTATGCCTCCAAAATATTTTTACTTTTTTTTATCCCACTACTGAAAGTATTGTTACCTACTATTGCAAGATAAATTAAACTAATCAACATCATGTCATCACAAGAATATTTAGTACTTTCTTCTTCTTTTTTGCAGCATAGTTACATCATTGCTAGTATTGAATTACCACATTAAAGATTGTGTTTAATAATACATCCTTTGAATCCCAAACAAGAGGTCACCAACAAAAATGCAGACATATCAAGATTCAGAATTCCCTCAGTTTTGAGATTTAAAAGCATCGATGAAGGGGCCGTTAAATCATGTAAATGGCCAAATAACTCCTCCTTCAAAGTCTCATACCCTTTAGTACTAATAGGAGGTGTTGGAGAAGTTAACACCCTCCCCATTGTATGTGTAATAAACTGTGAATCTGCAGGAGGCTTATCATACATCCTTCTTTCTCAAATATATATATAAAGAAACTTGTCAACCCTTGCTGTTCTTGATCTCCATTCACCAATTCGAACACAAAGGCCAAATCTTTCCAACTATCCTTGCCACTTTCAGGTCCAAACATGAGATGAGCACAAAGAATATCAAAATGGCCAGCCAAAACTTGAAGAAAAATATTCTTTTACTGATAAACATCAACAAACAATGTGTTCCTCTTCAGCCTTTGAATTCGTAGTGACCTATGAACAGATTCAGTTGAAATACAAAGGAAAGAAAACATCAAGGTGTTGCTCACAAAGATCACGTGGATCTTGGAAAAAGAAACCCCTAAAGAATTAGCAATAATGGGAATAGATATCTATTCTTGAATAGCAAACACAACATGACCTTGACGAATAAAGACTTCTGCAAGAAATTGACCAAAGTTACCAACATGAACAAACTATTCTCATATTACTATTTCTTTAGGGGTTTCTTTTTTCCAAGATCCACATGATCTTTGTAAGCAACACCCTGAACTTCAATAATTTCAACTTAGGTCACTACCAATTCAAAGACCGAAGATGAATACGTTGATGTTTTTTGAGTAAAAGAATATTCTTCAATAGTATTTTTTTCTACTTCAATGCCAAATATAATAGAAATGTTTTAAAAAAATCTTGCTACAGCAGAAAATGAAAAATAGAAGAAGGTAGATATCAAAGATAGCTATAGCTACCCCAATATATATATATATACATAATTTTACATGCTTAGTTTTTTTACTTATAAAATTTTATTATTACTGGATGACACTGTCCCGTGAACGGTCCGTTGTCACTGGGCATTTGTTTAGGTTGTTATTACGTATTGCTTCGTAATGTATTTGTATATTAAAAAATATATATGAAGTTGTATGTCAAAATTATTGTATACATTTATATTAAATTAATTATTACTTAATAATCATATTTCATCCTACTTTTTTAAAAAAATAGACTTATCAATCGATTTATGAATGTGTGAAATGATATAATGACAAAGAACGATACAATCTGTGAGTCTCAACACGTGATTTGGTATAAAACTTGAGACCTTATTTAAAAATGGTGCAATATTCTCTGATTTTGGGATGAGAAACGTTTGGAACATTCTAAAAATAGAACAAAGAAAGACAATAAGAAGGCCATGCACTACAAAATATAAAGGAGAAACGATTCTAACCCTAAATACAAATTATGTTGAACTTTTAGTTAAATAATTAATATATATATATATATATATATATATATATATATAATAAT